GATTTAAATACTCAATTAATACAATCAAAGGATTTCTCAGCATGGGATGAGAGGACAAGACATGGGATTTTTGAGGTGGATGTCCAGTGGAGTAGGGAGTAGGGAGATAGCCCTCTGAGAACTGTCCCTACCTTCCTGGCCAGGGATAAACCCCACTTGATCAGCATGAACGAAGTCACCCAGAAACTCTTTCAGCCAATTGGCCATGATTTTCGCTAAGATCTTTATGTCCAAATTCAATAGGGAAATGGGTCGATAGTTTTGGAAATATGCTGGATCCTTCCCCTCCTTAGGGATAACTGTTATGTGAGCATGTAATGCTTCCGGGAGAATAGGTCCCATCTTTGCAAGCAAATTAAAATATGTCACCATATGAGGAACTAGAAGATCCGAGTATTGAAGGAAATATTGGCGGGAAAATCCATCCAGGCCGGGGCTCTTCCCTGAGGGCATAGCTTTGAACGTAGAAATAATCTCCGCCAGAGAGATATCTCCTTCCAGGACAGAGATAGCCTCCGGCGGAAGTTGTGGGTAATCAATATCGTCTAGGTAAGAATCAATCATCTGGACCTGGCCTCCTCACCCTCTGAGACCTTGAGAATGTATAGGGAAAGATAGAAATCTCAGAAGCATTTGGCAATCTGGGATGGAAAATGTAATTTAGCACCTGAGGCATCGTATACATGGGGAACACAGGAACCTGATATTTGTTTTTTTAAGTGCCCTCGCTAACATGTCTTCCACATTTATGTCCTTGCTCGTAGTATTTGTGGGCCAGATACCTGAGTTTGCGTTTGGACTGGGCATCTAAGAGCTGTTTCAGTTGCATCCACAAGTCAGCGAGTTGGGTCCTTATCTGGGGGTCCGTCCTCTGTTTGTGTCGATAGGAAAGATCCAAGATCTGGTATAGTAAACTGGTTAAGTCCTAATTCAACTGTTTCTTCAAATGTGCAGCCTGAGTGATGAAGGCACCCCTGATGACGGCCTTATGAGCCTCCCAAATTACACTCTCGGAAACCTCTCCAACTGTATTGTCAACAAAATACGGTTGCAACACCTTGTGTATCTCTCCAGCTACCGCAACATCATCTAAAAGATTTTCTGGCGAGGCATGATCTGAGAGGATAATAGGATGGATCTTGGTAGAATGGACAATATTTAAATGAGGCTGATCAATCAGTAGGAGATCAATCCGAGAATATGACTGGCGTACCTGAGAAAAATAGTATTTGTCGTTTGCGTGGAGGGCTCTCCAACAGTCCACCAGTCACATGTCCCGCAAGGATCTGGAGATATGTTTCCTAGCTCCAAAAGACAATGTGGTGGATTTACTGAAGGAAGAGTCTAGCTGAGGGTCCTGACAGACAATGAAATCACCTCCTAAGATCACCAAACCGGAAGAGAAGTTCTGTAAAAGCCCAAGCACTTTGTCGATAAAAGAAACCTGGCCAGAGTTTGGGGCGTAGATATTCGGTAGTGTCAGCGGGCTGCCATAAAGGGTACCCTTCACCATTAGGTATCTGCCCTCAGGGTCCTCCAAGTGAGATTCAGGGACAAAGAGGCAAGATTTGTGGGGGGCTATCGCCACACCTTTGGCTCGCTTGATTGGGGATGGGCTTTGAAACCAGCGGTCAAACAGGTACAATGAAAGTTCAGGAATTGATCCCGATACAAAATGGGTTTTTGTAACATCAAAACTTGTGGTTTGAGGGCCTTTACCTCCCTCCAAACTCTGCTGCGCTTGAAAGTAGAGCTAAGACCCCTAACATTGTATGATAGCACCTTAAAGACAGACATAATGACGATGAACAGATCCTATTAAATGCAAATAAGCAATTGACCAGGAGAGAAAAAATAAAAAGTTTTGTAGCCAAATAATAAAACAACCAATATAGCAGGAGACAATATACAACCTACCAGTAGACAACAAACCGCCAGGCGAAGAAAGACCGCAAAAAAGCAACGGCAGTGTGTGGTCTATGACCCAAAAGGGTGGACACCCTATGAAAAATGGAATGGGGTGAACCTATAGTGGGGTAGCATGTAAAACATACCCAAGTAGGCAACTCCAGCCACATCTACCCATCACCTGTGTTCATTTTAAAGCATAGAGCAGTAAAACAAGTAACTATCAAATCAATAAACATAATATTCTATATGGCCCCATACCCCCTATAACATGTAGGGGCCTAGGCATTAGTCTCAGAAGAACGGGTCAAAGGATGTCGGCATCAGGTGGAGTCACAGGAACTGACCCAGAATAAACCAGGACGAACTATGACCAAGAACTAGAGTTCAAGTGTTCCCTTTGGTGTTAGGTGAGCCTGGGGGATTTCGAATCCATTTACGCTTCCGATGTGGTTCTTGCCAGTCTTGTTGTGTCTGAGTAGAGGAGGAAACACCGCCACCCCTCCAATCAGGAAAATTGACTGCAGAAAGGTGGAGCGTTTTAAGAAATTATGGTAGATTATCCATGTCATGAAGAGTGGCCGAGAGCCCATCTTTAGTAGCTGTAAGTCGGGATGGAAAGCCCCAATGGTAAATAGCCCCTGCATTGCAGAGGAAATCCAAGAGAGGGTGCAGGTTTTTTTTCAGCTCCAAAGTGCGGCAGGATAAAAATATAATTTCAACCCCTCAAATTCCAGATAAGGACGTTTGCGCATACCCTTCATGATAGCTTCTTTATCCTGGTAGCGCAGCAGTTTACAAATCACATCTCAAGGCTTGGTGACATCTGGGTTCACAGGCCCCAGGGCTCTGTGAGCTCATTCTATATCAATAAGTAGGGCAGGGGTTTTTCTCAAGATTTTTATAAAGACAGAGAGCAAAGTTGGAATCAGGGCGGCTGTTTTAATGGATTCAGGCAGCCCGCGAATACGTACATTTTTCCTGCGGCTCCTGTTTTTGTAATCACCAAGTTGGGAAAGTAGGTTCTCAATCTTGCGGTCTTGGTGATCTAATCTATGTTGCAGGGAGTGGAGTGTGTTCACGGACTCCCTTTGTTGTGTTTCAAGGACTTCAACCCGTGAGCCTATCTGTATAGTATCACCTTTAAGTTCTTGGAAGTCTGCTTGCCAGCAAAATATAATAGCACTGCGGGGGGATTCTTCCATTCACACTATGTGGATGGCGGAATCAAGCAATTTTCTATCCTTCCACCTGCGGTGGAAGGAAAGAAAAATGCATTAGCTATGGGCTGCTTTTCTCTCATATACTTATAATAAGCTGTATAAAACACTATAATGCCAAAAGTATTAGAACTCCTGCCTTTAAACGCACATGAACTTTAATGGCATCCCAGTCTTAGTTCGTAGGGTTCAATATTGAGTTGGCCCACCCTTTGCAGCTATAACAGCTTCAACTCTTCTGGGAAGGCTGTCCACAAGGTTTAGGAGTCTATGGGAATGTTTGACCATTCTTCCAGAAGCACTTTTGTGAGGTCAGGCACTGATGTCGGACAAGAAGGCCTGGCTCGCAGTCTCCATTTCCAGTTCACTGGAACTAAAGGGCCAAGCCCAACCCCTGAAAAACAATTCCACACCATAATCCCCCCTCCACCAAACTTTTACCCTTGGCACAATGCAGTCAGGCAAGTACCATTCTCCTGGCAACCACCAAACCGAGACACGTCCATTGGATTGCTAAACAGAGAAGCGGGATTTGTCACTTCAGAGAACACGTCTCCATTGCTCTAGAGTCCAGTGCGGCTTTACACCACTGCATCTGACGCTTTGCACTTCACTTGGTGATGTAAGGCTTGGATGCAGCTGTTCGGCCATGGAAACCCATTCCATGAAGTTCTCTATTCACTGTTGTTCTAATCTGAAGGCCATACAAAGTTTGGAGGTCTTTAGTTATTGACTCTGCAGACAGTTGGTGACTTTTGCCAACTGTGCGCTTCAGCATGCACTGATCCCGCTCTGTCATTTTACATGGCCTACCACTTCGTGACTTAGTTGCTGTTGTTCCCAGTTGCTTCCACTTTGTTAAAACACCACTAACAGTTGACCGTGGAATATTTAGTAGGAAGGAAATTCCACGGATGGAATTATTGCACAGGTGGCAACCTATCACGGTACCACGCTTGAATTAACTGAGCTCCTGAAAGCGACCCATTCTTTCACAAATGTTTGTAGAAGCAGTCTGCATGCCTAGGTGCTTGATTTTATACACTTGTGGCCATGGAGGTGTTTGGAACATCTGAATCCAATGATTTGGAGGGGTGTCCCAATAATTTTGGCAATATAGTGTATTTTACTATGAGGATAATAATATAATACTACAGCTATTACAATGTTACTCTAGTTAACTGAGTTATTTTATGCTGCTATTCCCGTTTCATAGTTTAGAGGTTCAACATTATGAGGTTTTCTAAGGCCCCTTTTAAACCTGTATGTGTGCATCAGTGTATGTGTTTCATTATGATTTTTTTCTTTAATATGTTTTATTAAGGTCTTACTAAACCCAGGACCCTGTATTCACTATATCTGGTCTCCCACAGAACACACAACATGGAAATGCAATTATTTGAGTAAATACAAACTAATTTTCTCATCAGCAGTTAGAGCAGTCTTGCATCTTCAGCAGAGCAGTGGTTAAAGCTTGTAGGAAGAGTTTTTTTTCTGCTCTAGGAGGATGGGAAACCCCTGACCCTCTGTCTGGACAGTGCTGATTCGCCCTGTGCTGATCACATGCACTCACATGCTCAGGAGTTAAGTCGGATTTGACATTGCTGAATTTGTACAGTAAGCTGCTCATGCGTGGCTCACTGTACAGGGGCTCCAAGGCAGGTAAGTAACTTTAATGCAGAACAGACAAAGCATGTCTCTTATGCAACAAAATTCCTGTCTGTTCACCATTTTTCTTTTTTTACCTAAGGTTCCACTTTAAGTTTTGGCAATAAAACCTGGAAGTTGCTTGGTTTCTATGCAGAGCTGCACCAGATTTTGCAAGCTCTTGTTTTTAAATCTCCCCCACTGAAAATTATGTTATTTGCTTAAATGTGCTGTTCCTATTTTTCAGAATGTCTTGCCAATGCTAGGGTCCTAGTTACTGGCGCAAGCACTGGCATTGGTGAAGAAATAGCATACCACTATGCCAGGGCAGGAGCACACCTCTTATTAACAGCAAGAAGGGAAGATGCTCTGCTCAAGGTGAGTAATGAAAATGTAATCAACTGCCTCAGGGGTGTGCAATTTATTCATTCCAGAAGTTCGATTGATGAGATTGGAGAGCTCGGTCAGGATTGGGATGATCTCTAAACTGGCACATTTTATAATGCTGAGAGAAGGAATTAAACATGGATATTTATGATTTTACCAGATTTACTGGGATATTTATCATGGCTAATAAAGTAGATAATCATTTTACACATTTTTCTTAATAATTTATTCCACTATAGATGCTTATAACACACATAATATGGAAATATGTCAAATATTTTCTAAAATATATTAGAATTAGGTGGACCTGAGCAATTTTGAGCAATGACTTTTGTTAAATATTTATGACATAGCAGCTTACAGAGTGTAAGTAGGTGAACGTATTTATTTTCAGCAGAGACCCGAAAAAGAGCAAAAGACGAGTTAACATTTGTCATTGAAATTAACACAAGGGAAATAACTTACAGGCAGTAGGATGTGTTTCTTGTGCTAAATCCTCTTCTTTTAGCTGAAATCTTCCTCTGTCCCTGTTTTGGCAAGATCAACTGGTATTTTCTGTACCCGCCGAACCTGAAAAGTAATTCAGCCACCACCTCTAAGCCCTGGTAAGCTACAAAATATTGCAAATTTGTTTTTGGGTTTAGATACATGTAAGGGACCTGAATTGGACCACGGTTCAAGGCAAGCTGGCCCAGGTCCTGACCCTGCTTCTTCTCTCAATGGGATAGTCATGTACCCGCCTTTTGAAGATACTTTTCCAGTGTCTCTCGTTCTCCTGGCCTGAAGCCTGCCTTAATTCCCACATATTCCTGGTACAGGCCTGTTACTTGGAATAAAGAATGTCCAGTCCAGACGCTTTTTGATGCTTTACTGCACGGGTGTCAAACTGACGGCCCTCCAGCTGTTGCCAAACTACATGTCCCATGAGGCATTGCAAGATTGACAGTTACAAGCATGACTCCGAAAGGCAGAGGCATGATGGGACTTGTAGTTTCACAACAGCTGGAGGGACGCCAGTTTGACATCCCTTCTTTACTGCATCAACCTAAGTACACACAGCAATACATCTTCTTCAAAGCACATATTCTCAATGCAAAAAACTCAGTACTACTACCCAGTACCATGACATCCAGCAATCCAGTTGTTTCCAGTCAGTCCCCCAGAGATGGTTCCACACACAAGGTGTTCTTTGGTTCTAGGCCCAGAATCCATCCTAAACTGAGCCACAGACCTGCTAAGTGAAGGTCAGGGGCAGTAAGGTTATTCCATCTCCTCCCCTGGGTGTCCATATCTCATCCTCCTGGCAGTCCTGCCCTGCATAGGGCTCTCTCCTGCTCATGCACAGGCCAGAAACCTCAATGGTGTTGGTCAGAGGTGACCTGTTCCCATAGCTGAACTGCCAGGTACCACTCACAGTTGGTATTAAAAGGGCACAAACTGTACCCACGACATAACCAGGGGAGTGGTATCAAATAAAAGGAACTACATCTGCCAACATACACTTTTATTAGAACACAGAGACTTTGCTGAACACTGTACATTATATAGTTGTAATAGGGAGCCGTAGATTTATGTTCAACATTTGTTGAAATCCATTGGCTTCAGATGTCTTACTTATTATATTATAAAGGCAGTCCTGTATATAGTTTAGCCCTGACTGTAGCAATCATGCCCACAGAGATGGACGCGGTTCAATCATTTTGGCTCCAATCTCCATCTTGGCAAAGGATCCTCCATCTTGTACAAACATATTCCCCTCATTCTCATTCTTCCTCTCTGTTCAGCCACAGTGACATATGGCCTGTGTGTTGGCAGTGACACAGGAGGCCAGAGCACAGCAGGGAGCCCCGAGCTATAAAACCCCCAAGGGAGCTGGGGCCTCGCTGTCCAAAGAACATGTGCAATCTATCACATCGTAAAAGATAACCTAAGCCTTCCCCTGAGTTGAAACACATTCCAGAGGAGTAGAGACTAGATAACACTTTTAAAATCCATTTGTTCCCCTATGTCTCATATCTTGGAATATGAGAGACTTACAGAAAAACCAGGTATATCTTCGGATTGGCCACGAGAAGACAAATCGTTTGATAGGTCACACTCCCTGACTGGAAGGAAAGCAGATAATTATATCCCTTGAACCATGCAAGTCTGTATGCTATATTTCATACCTAACCGTTCCTCGGAAGCGTCTGCATAGTGATCTACCCGCGAGTGGAATGTCACTTGTGCATAGGGAAAGTTATGAGCAAAATTTGAACTATGAAAGATTTTGGCTCTAGTTTAGGTATCCGCCCAGACGATCCCTTCCTAAACGAGGCATTGATCCTTGGCTTTAGAGACACCCCCTGCTGGGGGACTACAAAATAGGCTGTCAGGCCTAAGAGAAGTTAAGTTGAAGAATTCTCCTTTTTAACATCAGAACCAACCTGGGAGACCTGCCCTTTTGCTTTGATACTTGATCTGCAAACCCAAGGCTGATTGGCAAGTACTTTAACCCTTTAACCTCCTTTCTGTTACCTCTTTGCTGTGCTGTTGTTCTCTGTATATTTATATATACTGTATATTGGTTACATCTTTTTTCTGTAAATATTTTTATTGCACCCCTTTGACCTTTTAGTAATAAATCTTTCCTTCTGAAAGTGTTGAACTGTTTCTATAGCTCTTTATTGCAACTTACGAATTCCTGCCTCTAAAAGAGCGTTACTGTGTTTGTTTACCCCTCTGTAAAACCTGTCTGCGGTGACCGTGTAATTCAGATGATTATCTCAACCATTATAGTGTTATAACTGATATCGCCGAGTTTCCTCTTGCTCTGTACAAAAAGGAGGTGCTGGCAGTGTGAAGGGTTAATTGCGTAATTAACCTGACCCAGTAACAATCGATCCCAGGCTGCCGGTACATCGATTTGTGGTCCATTAGCTGGAAAATCGCTGTGCAGGGTGCAGCTGGGTGTGGTATTTTTACGCACGTGACATCGCGGCTTCAGATTGACTAGTCCTTCGGTCACGAGTTTGGAGAGAAGGGCAGGGGTCTGACATGCGATCGTCACACTGTCCATCCCTCGTACTATGTGAGTACACATGTAGAGAGATTCCTAATGCTTTTCTTCTTCTCAGCCTTGGTATGCACACATGTGTCTCTCTAAATTACACTGTCAATGAATGCAGACTGCAGACAGGCTGCATATAAACAAGGCAATGTTTACACTAAACTGAACTGATAATGACAGCTCTGAATGTACAGGGAAAGAAAAGGAAGATGTAAGAAAATGTATTTAAAAAGTTGTTTGATTTCCTTATATATTAACCACTTGCCCTCCAGAGGATTTACCCCCCTTCCTGACCAGGCCATTTTTTTGCAATACGGCTCCGCGTTACTCTAACTGACAGTTGCGCAGTCATGCAACGCTGCACCCAAATTAAATTTCTGTACTTTTTTTCCCACAAATGGAGCTTTCTTTCGGTCGAGTCTGCATTTTTTATTTTTTGTGCTTTAAACAAAGACAGTTCGACAATTTTGAAAAAAAAAAAAAGCAATATTTTTGACTTTTTGCTATAAAACATATCCAGTATAAAAATGTAAAAACTCAAATTTCGTCATAAATTTAGGCTAAAATGTAATCTGCTAGCTACATACTACTTCTGCTATGACGTATAGCGGGACTGCGGCCGGCATGCTAACACTGGCGGGAACTGACTGACTGTCACTGACATCCCCAGTGACACTAATACAGTGATCAGTGCTAATAGAAAACACTGACAATGTACTAATGACACTTAGCAGGAAGGGGTTAACATCTGGGGCGATCAAAGCATTAACTGGTGGTATTTGTGTACATTATTGAGAAAATACGGAAGTTAGCATCAAACATCTGAGCAAAGATTGGGGTACTACGAATTACCAAATAACTGAAGGAGGTTAGTTGCCCATTTAAATTGAAATTTTTCCTGGATAGCATCCATATGATGTCTGGTACTGAAATGTTCATGGCATGGGATTTTTGGACATTGACATTAAGGTGTGATGTCATGGCATTTGTAAAATTTAAGCATCAGACTTGGTAGGGGATATTGGGGTTGGCTAACAAAGTTGTCCAAATAAGTGGCTATTTTATGTTGGCTGTGACTTTCAGGATGTCCAGAGATATTGAGGTTTCCTTGGATATGTTGTACCAAGAGTTCCATGGTGAGAATAAACACCAGAGGAGGAAACCTTGGAGGGTGCCTCTTTGTAAGTGAAAATATTTAGAGAGACCCTCATTGGCTCTGACTGCAGCTGTCAGGTGCAAAAAAAATAGCCAGCTAAGCATGTTAGAGCCTAGGCCTATATGTTGGAGCAGCCTTTCTCAACCAGGGTGCCCAGGCACCCTGGGGTGCCTTGTGGTTTCTTCAAGGGTGCCTTGGCAAAATGTCTAAAAATTGCCCAAAACTTGTATACAAGCCAGTGGGTGGAACAAGCCTGCTTTTTAGTTACACAAAGCCACAGGTTTTCATTGTGCACCATTAGGACCTTCTAGCTGCCGGTGTCCTGACAACCAATAACATCATAAGTTGATAAGGAGGATGTCAGTTGTCTGCACAGAAACCTAGTTTGACCGCCCCCTGCCCCTTTCCATCAGTACTGGATAATAAATGAGGGAGAAGTGAAAAGCTGGAATACTAGTCAGTACCAGTGTGCAAAAGTGTATCTGCGTTGGAAGAATAAATTACCTCTAATGCTGGGTGTCCTACATGTGCGGATGTTGCTGCGTTATTTAAAACTACTAGAATAGTTTTTCACATTTTAAAATGGGGTGCTTCGGGACTGTCCATAATATTAAAGGGTGCCTCAGGACTGTCCATGATTTAAAAGGGTACCTTGACTGAAAAAAGGTTGAGAAACACTGTGTTGGAGCATGGTTTCCATAAATTTCAAATTCACTCTTTTGAATACTTTTATTCAGCGTTGGTAGATTTTAGTAAATTTATTCTATAGGAGGTAGCTCTATAGTT